CCACTTTAAATCGAATTCCTGTAACATGAACTCTTTCCCGCTGATCGATTCTGGAGTAATGCTTGCATTGAATTAGGAATGGTTACCTGGATAAGGTTGTTATGCAGTTTATCAGAATGATGTTTGAATTGAAAATCGTACTGTTAAAATTTCTCCATAGTCATCAGTAAGAGAGCGATATCTCAGCAGTAGCGGTTACATTCGATGTCGCCTTTCAAAGTCCTCCATGATTTATTTTTCTTCCCCATTTCTTCAAATCGTTCCCTCATTTTGTCTTCGCTGCTACTTGGTGAGCAGCATTCTCTGTTCCTACATCCGTAATACCTATTTCAAATTCGATTGATGAGTTCTGCTGCTAGTTGTTCCCGCATTTCTGCTGTTGCTTTTTATTGTTTAAAAGTGGTGCCAGCCAGTCCTGTTCTTTCTGTGTTCGAGCTTCTTCGTCTTGCCTTTCTTTCTGTCTTCAGGCTTCCCTCGTCTTCGATATTTCTCATAAAGTCCAGCAACATTTGATTGACCTGTTCTACTTCATCGGTTTGCTTTACTTAAAACTTGATTTTAATTCCAAGATCCAGTAGTAAATCAAAATTCTCGCACCTACTCTGATTTCAAATAGAACACAGTGGAATATTTTAGTAAAATCCATCTGCGGACTTATTATAAAATAAAAGAAATCACTATTTCTATTCAACAAAAGTTCACTTATTTGTCCCACTAGTTAGCTTCAATCAATCTCTACTAACCCCGCTTTTCATCCCCCAAATTAGCTGAAACTGATCCACTAGTTATCTTGCCAATTATTTCACTCATTAGCTCAAATCAATACACTAATTATCACACTTGTGATATTAAATTTCCACGGTTTTCGTAGGTCATTGAAAACTGTTTTTAGTAACAGCCGCAACTTTTATTGAACTAATTCATTACAAAATTCACCTAGATGTCGCTTTTACTTAACTTTTTACCTAGAACAATTTTTTTATTTACATTGACTCACTCAATTGATTGAATTCTATAAAATTATAGCATTGTATAAGAACTTCACAGTTCATGTGTGCAATATGCAGGTACAATAATGGAAAAAAAATTGTAATAAACCCTCAATAAACCAGTGAATTCGACAGTAATCAATTACAAAACATTAATGCACATGACTGTTTTCATAAAATGAGCATAAACCTATAAATAAAAGATCCTTATTCTTGTTCTTACTAAATATCCAACTTTTCCATTTTTATAACTCACATCTCAGTTGTGTAGGTTTAAGCAGTTATCGTAACGAACGACTATTTCTGCATACCATTAATATAGTCTTTATAAATTTAGATGCTTATATCATCCTTATGAATATTAATACAACATGATAATAATTAATAAATCCTCGTGTATAACATAGCAAGGTCAATAAAACAAGGTCACTGATATAACGACATAAAAATTATGATTTCGAAAATACCGAGAAAAATACTAAATCCGAGACTGAATCAATAATGTCACATGTTTCATGACAGAAATAGCTTCTCTCAAAAAAAATTGCCAAAAACGGAATAAAGAATTTTTGACTGTTTCGTATGTCTTTACCTCCAGAAGATATTTTTGGTCTTATTAAGAATGTTCTCCTGTCTCCAGTAATAGGGGTTGCGGTAAAAAATATAGGGGCTCAATAAATAAATATTTGGACACAGGCAGGTGTTATAGATAGACAGGGTCGACTTTAACTTCAGCAAAAATATATTTGAGCGAAAGCAGTAACCAATAAATTACTTACCTACTCCACTATAAATATTATAATTATTCTGAACTTTTATTGGATTTATGACAATCGATTTAGTACATAATATCAAAGTCTAAATATAAGCAAAGTCATAAATATATGTCTCGATATAAGTTTTCTATATTCGTTTTCTGTTTCTATAATTATTGTTTTGACACAGTTTTTCCAATGAGTATTCACAGGTTCTTCACTTTCATGAATAAGTTCTGATCATTCTGAGATCATGTTATTTTTCCTGACATATTAAGTATTTTATAATTTCCACTCGTACTTACTCGATTGACACGAGTAAGGAAAGATTACTTATATCTTCCATTATCCTTAGCCAGATGATATATTTAATAAAATTTGCCTCTCACAATTTATTTAAAATACCATCCATAAATCAAAGAACAAAATGATTCCCAGATGTTATCCAGGAGTTGCATTTTATGTTTACAAACTTTCAGTGTGTGCGGTTTATCCCTCTGGGTTGAAATTTATATAAATAGTTAGCAATTTGTTTGTGTTTAGAATAAAGCTGTCTTTTGTTTGTTTTACAGAAACATTTGGATAAGATACTAATTGTGTTTTTGGGGTGAATGGGGTATGCTGTTTTGTTGTTTATAAATAGAAGTTTCTGGCGTTTATTAACAAGTTTAGATATTTCCCTCAATAAAATTAGGCTAAGTAGAATAGGTACCTATCAGGAATTATTTACCACGCAATGATAAAAGTACAGAAAATGCTCGATTACGTAAATAATTATTAACTCTTTTAGATATAAAGGATTTTAGGTTCTATACTATACAGTGGACTGCAACCTCCCTTAAATGAAACTTGTTGAAGGCTGCATGTTGTGGTCGATGGCGTGTCTTCTGATACACTTCCTATAAATGCTGGTGTTCCCCAAGGCTCAGTTCTGTCTATGTTTCTCATTTTTATAAATGATTTGTTAAATGTGATAGGACACGACACAGCTTTGCGGACGATAGTAGCTTGATGGCATCCTTCTCTCCAGACAACCCGCTTATTGCAGCCACTTCCACACGCCTCGACCAAGAACAGATTCACTCTATTAACAGTGATCTTGACACCATTACCAACTGGGGCCTTTACAACCTGGTCAAATTGAAATGCTTCCAAAACTCAAGCAACAGTATTCTCACATAAAAAATCTTCTGACGATGATAATCCAGTTTTAAGGTTGTCTGTACAAAACCTTTCTATCAATCCCTCAGGATCTGTTCTTTAGGTGACCGCATCAATCAACTTGTCTTCACATGCACTTCGATCGCCAACACCTCAATTTCGTGAAAAAAATTCTTTACTTGTGAAGAACTTCTCCTTCTTAAGGCTCAAATCAGACCATGTATGGAATACTGTTGCCACATCTGGAGCGATGCTCCCAAGCATTCGTTAGCTCTATTAGATGCAGTACAAAGAAGAGCAATGGAAATGATCGATAATCAAACTCTCACCGATTCAGTGCAATCTTTCAAACATAGACGCAAGGTGGTCTAATTGTCGCTATTCTATCGCTATTACCATGAGAGATGTTCTGACAATCTGGCCATCCTCATTCCAGCTAGAAGTTATTTGAGATCCACAAGAACCTCCCAGACATCCCATCCGTATGTGGCAAAGTTGGCTACCTAGAGGACCTCTAAATATAGGACTCGATTCAGCCAATAAATCAAAACTGTATAGGTTCTATAGAATCGATATTATAATTAAATTTGTAGCTTCAAAATTTGAAATTCTCTACAAGGTTTTGAATGGCTTAGCAATAAAAAATGACAAAAATAATTGTGATCTCCCTGAAATGTAAGAGGTCGCATCTGCAAGGATAAAGAAATCATCAATCAGTGTTGATGAGCTGATAACTATTATTGAACATGCTGTATTTATATTATACATTCAAGTGAAAATTCCATTGTGTGATTTAAATAGACAAGTATTAAGCATTTCCGTGATTCTAGAGATTTCTCGATTAAATGTTTTTATATACAATGTGTATCAGCCAAATGGAATAAATTCGATAATAAATAAATGGGGGGTGTTTTCCAAAAAACGCTTAGACACGTCGATTTTGTTTTTTTGCTTAAGATTTTTTCACACCAACTTTTTTTATGCAGGGTGTTCGAACAACAGTTGTACCGTTACTGACTTCATTTTATTTAATAGTTCCCCCTGTATATTATGACATTTCTCGATTCTGCGGAAAATTCTAGACATATTTCATTTTCAATGTCCTATACTTATCTTCAACTGTTTTGGAAATATTGAAGTTGAAAATTGACTTTTTTACATCTTTGACAGACTGTAAAACATAAACACTTGATTTTACAGCAAAACCGATAATACATTATTGTCTTTGTTTTTCATAAGCTATCATTTGACACCAACTTCGGATTTAACCGGAGATTAAATTTAACCGGAGTGTCAATGATACTTTATGAAAAACAAAGACATGTATGATCGGTTTTGCTGTAAAATCAAGTGTTTATGTTTTACGGTCTGTCAAAGATGTAAAAAAGTCAATTTTCAACTTCCAAAACAGTTGAAGATAAGTATAGGATTTTGTACATAAAATATGTCTAGAATTTTCCGCAGAATCGAGAAATGTCATAATATACAAGGGGAACTACTGAAAAAAATGAAGTCAATAAAGGTACAGCTGTTGTTCGAACACCCTGCATAAAAAAAGTTGGTGTAAAAAAATCTTAAGCAAAAAAACAAAATTGACGTGTCCGAGCGTTTTTTCGAAAAGTTCCTCATTTATTAATTATCGAATTTATTTCATTTGGCTGATAGACAGTATAAAGCGCGTAATTTGTAGGTCAAATATTTAGTTAATTAATGTCGTTCAAAGTTAAGTAAAAGCCTTGGTAAAAGTAATAATGCTTTATTGTTTCTTGTGCAGACATTAGTCATATTATCCAGTTAATGCTGATTATATACAGAGAATTCATATCTCTGGAGAACAGCATCGCTGTGGAATAAACTCCCTGCGACGGTTTTCCCTGCAGGTTACAACCTGAACCGTTTCAAGACCAACATACACCGACATTTCCGCGCACTTGCCGCTTCTCGAGCGTGATTGGACATTTCCTTGCAAGTGCGCATATCCGTAAAAAAAAAAAAAAAAAAAAATACCCTCTCAAAAAAAGTCTATATTCGTCTCTGCATTCCCATCATTAGAACATAAATCTTCCAAATAATTAACCATCCTCTTTTGTTTCAGATCGTCACACTCAAAGGGATGCTCTTCCTGCTCGTCCTCGCCGCATTCCTACCCAGCTCTGCCATCGCTGTAGGCTGTCCAACTGGATGTATATGTAACGATGAAACCTATATAGTGCAATGTGAGCACAGCAAATTGGACGTTATCCCTATAACCCTGAACCCGGCCATCCAGAGGCTGGTGCTCAGAAACAACAAAATCCGTACTGTAGACGCCGCTTTCCAGTTCTACCGAGATTTACAGTATGTGGATTTATCCAGTAATCATTTGATCAATATACCAACGAAAAGTTTTCAACATCAAGACAAGTTGCAGGAGTTGCACTTGAATAAGAATAATTTAAGTTCGGTGAATAATAAGACTTTCCAGGGGCTGAAGGCTTTGACTGTTTTAAATTTGCGTGAGAATTTATTGCTGGAGCTATCGCAAGGGACTTTCTCAATATTGCCTAAGCTGGAAGAGCTAAATTTAGGCCATAATCAAATATCTAAAATTGACTCTCTAGCATTCCACGGACTACCCAACTTAAGAGTTTTATACTTGGACGATAATCAGCTTACTTCAGTTCCTACTCCAGCCTTTCCGTCTATAACAAACTTGGCCGAGCTCCATGTAGGCCTAAACGGTTTCCAATATCTTCAAGATGATTCTTTTAAAGGCCTCAACCGACTGAGCGTGCTAGATTTGAGCAGCGGAGGCATTTCAAATATAAGCGAGCATGGCTTTAGAGGCTTAACAACTTTAAGAAATCTAAATTTGGCTGATAATAGGCTTCAACAAATACCTACAAGCCAATTGGGTTACTTAACAAGGTTGGAAGAATTGACTATTGGGCAAAATGAATATGTAAATCTTCCAAAAGGTTCATTTAAGGGTTTGACCAATTTGAGAAAGCTTGATATTACTGGAGCTAAAAACTTAGAGCATATTGAAAAAGGAGTTTTTAGTGATAATATGAATTTGGAAACCATTAAATTGGTGAGTAACAGGAAATTGGAAAATTTGGAAGAAGGTGCTTTAGTTGGCCTACCTAACTTGAGACACTTGGTGCTAAGGGAAAATGCCTTTAAGAGCCTACCAGAATCTGTAGTGTCTTGGAACGAGCTTCGTGCCCTAGAGTTAACCGATAATCCTATAATTTGTGATTGCCAACTGTTGTGGCTCCTAAATCTTGCCAATCAGAAGAACTTGACTAACGTGCAATGTGCTAGTCCTCTACATTTAAGGGATAGACCCTTAAAGTCACTCACAAGTGATGATTTAGGTTGTTCCTTTAACGATCCTAGCCAACAAGTTATTATAGTTACATTTTGTGTAAGTGCCACCATTCTGCTTGCAGTTTTAGGTTTGTTTTTGTTCCGATACAGAATAAAAGTGCGGGATGCTTTGAAAGACTATAAATTCAATAAAAGAGCTATAAGTAGAAAGGAGCATGAGTATCAGAAAACTTTCTCTGAAGACGAATACACTCTACGAACGGGACAGTTGCCTATTAAACATATACCAGTAACGGAATTGTAGCTAGAGCTGAGCGCGCCGCCCTCTGGGGTATTTTGTCTTGAGGGCGAAGGGCGGCGTGCTCGAGGCTCTCGAGGACCTGGTGGTACCTTACCTGTAACCGGGTTCACTTATATACGTACAGGTGAAACTTGCAGAGCTCATTCGTTGAGGACTTTAAATTTGGACTCGGCCAGTTCCAGAAACAACGGGTTTTCGCCCCGGTGCCCAGTGGATTTGTTTCCCCATTAATTAGTTATTGGACTAATATAGATTGCGCAATAAATGAATGAATCCATTCCAAAAAAATGTGATTTTTTACGAAATATAAAAGACTGTACAGTAGTTGCTAAGGTATATTTTTCTTTTGGTCTAAAAATTAGATGGCGCGACTGTTTTATCTCATAAGAATTCTGTGATACTGGTGGTAGCTTTTTATCCATTATTTTTCGCCTCTATAACTATTAACTAGACCAGCTGCAATGATTTTTGTGTAAAAATAGGAAAATAATTATAATGTACCTACTTTGTAGGAACTCGTTGACTAAATTGGAATGAAAAAATTAAGATTTTATTTGACAAATTTAATTTCTAATTGTTTTCCTATTACTCAAAACCTTAAAACAAAGTGTCATATCGAATTCCTTGTGAAATAAAAACCCTATTACATTACACACACCAATGATTAAATTTCCCATTTTTACACCAGTGTAAGTACCTTTTTTTTAGAAGGATTTTTATTTTATTTTTAATTTCTCATATCTGTCACTCTTTTTTGTATTAAGACACAATATTTGAAATCATTATCTGTTTCCTAAAAAAAAAAAAATAGCTGGTTTCAAGTAGCCATGTGTGAAAACTTATTTTGTGATTGCAATTTTCCAATTTTCCCTCTTTAGTTTACATATAAACTAAAATGTACAAATTATATATTTATTGTTTTTATTTTTCTAAGTTTCTGTCGATGAAAAATGCAGTCATAAAATAAACACGAACAAAAAAACCAACAAAAATATTATTTGTGTATAAAATTGTATATTTTCAAAAGAGTTAATTTGAAAATATTTAAATTTTTTTTTTTTTTGTACATAAAAGAAAAAATATATATTACATATATTATGCAAAATATTTCCCTTTTCTAATAAATGATAATTATAATTATGCCTAAATTGTATATATTTCACAGGCAAACACAGAATAAATTATCTATTTTAATTGTTATTGATACCTAGGTACCTACATTTTTCTGTTTTCATTAGCTCCTTATTTTGGAGTGGATGGGATAAATTTAGAAGTAATTTTGATTTAAATTCGTTATTTTATCTTTATATATTTTCTCACTTTACATTTGAAATTAGCTCATCACCTTATGAAATTTTCATCGATCATTTTAAAATGTGTGGTATAACTAAGGTAGGTACAAGAAAAGTGACAAATGAATAAAACAAATATTATGTAAAATAACATGAAAAATGTAGGTGACTCCGTGTATTATTATCATTGATTTATTTTGCAACCAAATTTTCCAATTTCATTAATACTTAAAAATACCTATTGGTCAAAAATAATCTATATTTTGTGTTGTTTTTTATTATTTTATCTGCAGCTAAAAAGAACATCGGTTTGATTCTTTTTTTCCTGAGCTAGTCATAACAATATAAATTATTTTAATGAATGTATGTGTGTGTACATTATTTAAATAACATGGTAAATTTGTATTATGTAAATATTTCCAAAAAAAAAAAAATATGTTTTGTACATAATGAATTTATCCTTAAAGGTACCATACTTATTTACAAAATAAATTCATTTCGATTCCTTCTATGTGTTGTTTTATTTCTGGTCACCAACCTATGCTCAAGTAGGTAGGTACCTAGTGGAATATATTATTTTCAGAGATAAAATTTGTAGGTACCTACCTAAATACTAAATCAGCATCATCATAGGCGATCACTCGATACCGAGTATGATTATCTTCTATCCTATTCTTATAGTCATCGATTGTGACTGATGACTATATAAACCAATTCTGGAGCCGCACACTCTTCCACAGTCTTGGCACACCCAGCCTCTAGCAGCATTATCTCTTCTTCTGTTCTCTCACTCCTTCCTGCGGTGCCTCTTTTCGGTCTCGTGTCTGCGTTGCTGTTCTTCAAAAGTTTGTGGTACGTCGTGGTTTACTCGACGCTATGAGGGCCTATATCATTTGCCGTTGCTTCCCAGTTGCTATAGTCGGGCCACCGAAGAAATATAGCAATAAAACCGGGCGTTAAACCTTCGAGGGCTCTGACAGGCAATAGACGAGCGGGTTTTCACTCACTTTATACCTTCTCATGATTAATCAAATTTAATAAAAGCATGAATTCATTTTATCAGTATGTGAGTATATGCATGAATGCGATTCCAATAAATTATTTTGGGTTAAAATTACAATGAAAATCTATATACCTAATTTAAAGTATTCTCTAATTCAGGTAACCTATATAATTATTAACTCATTATGGAATATAAATTTTCTGGTTTCGAGAATGTAGGTAGGTACTCAGTAATTCCTTGCTCAGGTAAAATGATGATTTTATATAATAATTATGGTGTACTCCAACTTTTTTTTTTTTTTTTTTTAACTTCTAGAAATTGTTTTCTAAAACCTTTGGCCCACCAAATGTTTTTCCTAAAAGGTTAAAATTTCATGACCGCCCAAAAGGCTACCAAATATTTTGTACTGTTGCTGTTAACTTTGGTTTACATATTTATTATAATTTTACATAAATTATCTTATAGGTAAGATGGGTACCTATTTTATTACTGAGGGATAAATAGAAGAAAAAAAATTACACATTTATGTGTATGCTGAGATTGAGAAACACTCGATTTTAAATAAAACAAATGTTATTATTTATAATAATGAGTAATATATTTATAAGTATTTAACTATAATCACATAATTTGTTTATTTGGCATAGACAATTTGTTTATTATTAAAAGAGCGATTTGGATAAAATGTATAGGTGACTACCTACCTAATTTAATAACAAATGCAATTTATTAGGAAAAAAGCTAAACATAAAAACGCGGATGCGGAGAAATTATTCCGAGTCGGATGACAATGATGATGATTCATCACCATCAAAGTTAACAATCAGGGGCTCTATTCTGGTTTCCATCATAGCATCCATAGTCCACATACTTGCCTCCACTTTCAGCACATGCCCAACAGCATTTTTCCAATTTTCAGGACTAACGTTGTAGACTCCTTCATTAAATTTTTTTTAACATCTGCAATTTTGAAGGGGGTTCTATTTTTTCGGGCCACTTCTCCTTTGATTTGTGCCCATATCAAAACTCAATAGGATTTATTTCGCAGTGGTACGGAGGTAATCTTTCGACTGTTCTATTGCAAGCTCTGGCCATTTCATCAATTACGTATTGGTTCTTGTGAAAACTTTCGTTTACGAGCGTTAATAGTTCTGCCTTCACCATATCCTCTTCAAAGCCTATATTTTTCCTAGTTAGCCAGGATTGTATATCAGCTTTTTTCGTAGATGATGTCGGTTTCTTATCAATTTTTCTAGAATGGTTTGATGCATTGTCCATCACTATGACACAATTTTCTTCCAAGCGAGGTAAAATATTTTCAAACCATTGCTCGAAGACTTGGGAATTCATTTCCTCGTGATAGTCTCCAGTTTTCTTTGACTGAAAGAGGAGCAAGCCGTTCTCAACAAATCCATCGTCTGAACCAATATGTAATATAATGATTCTTTGTCCTTTACCTGTGGGATTCTTCAGTCCTGTAGATAGTCCATTTACGAAAGCTTGCCTCGCCGTAGTGACAGTTTCGTCGCTCCATACTTTTGGAGTGACATGGCCAGCATTAATCCAGGTTTCGTCCAGATAATAAATCTTTTTTCCACTCGCCCTTACTGCTCGGATATTCCGTAAATAGCGTCGCCTGCAGCTCACAATTTCATTTTTTTTCTTTTAGCATGCTATTTTGACTTCTTCTACCATACTGAAAACCAAGTTCACGGAGCAACTTTTTAAACGAGCTTTTCTTGAAATTAGGGATGTCCTCTCGCTCTTGAATAGCTGCTAATATTGCCTTTACACTAGGAGACTCGTTCTTGATAAAAAATTAATGAATTAATCTCCGAACTGAATTTTTTGTTTCCATATCTATATTGACCAAAACAGATTTTTTTCTTTTGTAAGCTTTGGCTGGCTTCAGTTCTTGCTCGTTTTTGTGTTCCCGAAGAACGTTGTAAACGCTGGCTACTCCAATACCCATGGCCTCTACTGTGAAATTCACTTTCTCAGTTTTTGTACAATCTGCATGATTTCGGTCACAAGTTTTGAAGGTATTTAGGATTGTCTCCTTTTCAGACACTGAGAAATGTCTTTTCCTCCGTCTTCTTGGTAGAGATAAATTTCCATCATTAGGATCCATGGAAAAAAAACAAATTGAATCGCAAAAAAAAATCTAAAATAGCACAATTCGAATCACAGCACAATGTCACAGACGAACAACATCAACTAAATGCGCTCCACTATGAAATGATCTGTTCTTCAGAGGGTTGCGGGATAATTTATGGGCGTCGGTTAGCAGGTAATCGTTTTACAACTATATTTCTTCGGTGGCCCGACTATAGTACCGGTCCTTCCTTTCGAACATCTTTGTGACGCTTTCGTTGACCTCCTTGATTTCTCTTTTTCAGTTGACTGTAAAGAATCTGTCGTGGAAGACGTGTTTCAGGCATGCGGACGAGGTGACCTGTCCAGCAAAGTTATTGCTTTATCTTAATGATAAGAGCTTTCATGCTAGTTGTTTTGGCCTCCTCTAAAACACTCTAAATGTTCTTTCGTTGGTCTTGCCATTTAATCCGTAGGATGCTTCTTAAGGTGTATCCAGACCGGTGCAACAAACAGCGCAAAATGTTCACGAACGTTGCAGAGCAGAACATGTCAGTTTGGACGGTTGCGCGTTCAGTTTTGCGCGGCGCAAAATGTTTCCCATGTGGTGTCGGTACATGAACGAAAAATTGTTGCAGCAGTTAGACGTTATCCGCGCTGAGCGGAATGCTTGTTGCAAAACGTTCGCGAACGTTTTGCGCTATTTGTTGCACCGGTCTGGATGCACCTTAAGGCATCGCTGTTAATATTTTTCTAGGCTTTTTATGTTTCTTCTGTAGGTTGTCCGTTTCGCAGCCATATGTAAGTGTTATTGGTATTACAACTGCATTGTAGACGCAAACTTTGATCTTAGCGCTGATGTCGTGGTTATTGCAGACTCTCTCTAGAAGTCGCCCGAACGCCGCTCTAGCACAATTCAAGCTTCAAGCGATGTTGAATTTCAGCGACAATGTGGTTCGCTGACAGATGGCTCCCAAGGTATGGGTAGTGCTACGTTCTGCAAAGAATGGTCATTTATGGGTATATTTCGGACTTGGGGATTAGTATCCAGTGCGGGTTGGTTCAGAATCTGCATCTTGTTGAAGTTGACCTCTAGACCGATTCTCCTGTATGCCTGGTTGAATGCATCGATAATGGCCTGAAGAAGATCTTCCTCTGTATTGGCCATCACGACGATATGATCCGCATATTATTGAGGTTCAGTTATTGATGTCGTCGATACTATTTCGTCTTGGCTCGTAATCTGTTTAGTTTGAATAATTCGCCATCAAGTCTGTACAGGATTTTCCCTCCTGACGGCAGGTATCCCTCGACAAGGTGAAGTATGGATCCGATAGCTAATAAAGTAGATGCAATAATATAGCCCTGTTTAACGCCTGTAATGATTTGAAAAGACTCTCCTTGTCTATCGTTGCTTAGGACTAGGACGGAGAATCTCGACACCTCACATTTGCCATTATCATCCAAAGAGTTTTTCTGTTGACCGAATCAAATGCTTTCACTAAATCTATGAAGTACATTTATAAAGGGCGATAGTTCATCAAATCATGTGAGCTGTACCTGATTTGGTCTAAAGCGACACTGTGTCTCTGGGAAATTCTCTTCGGTAGTTAGGATTAAACGATTTGATAATATTCAGGAAAGTATCTTTCACCCCCGCAACAGAAAGTGAAGACACTCCTCTGTAGTTTCCACTTTGAGCCTTGTCTCTCTTTTTAAAAATGGTAACTATGGAGGCATCTCTAAGCTCGGCAGGTATAGTCTCAGTATTCGATATTTTACTTATTCGGATGTGGGTTTGGGCACTTACTGTGGGGTGGGGCCTTCTTTTTTAAAGAATTCAGCAGTAATGCCGTCAATGCCAGCTGACTTGTTATTCTTTAGTTATCTGATCTCCTCTAATCTAGGATCCTCCCTCAGTTCTTGTGTGGAATTTAATTGAAGATGTGATTAATAATTTGTGATTCTCTTTTCGTTCCAACGAGAGTTAATGGAAGAACCTTCTGTAAACAGTCCCGTGCCATCTTGGATCGTGAGGGATTCAGTCCTTGAGTAGTTAATCCGTATACCATCTTTAGTAGCATGAAAGAAGGCCCTAGTGCTGTTGGATTCGACTAGTTGCTGGATGCTGCATTCCGTTTGATTTTGTTATCCACCATTGGTTGTTTAATGCACGCATTTGCCTTTGAACTTCTGCTTTTACTTGTTGGTATTGCCTTTCTTTGACAGTCGAGTTGGAGTCGCTTTTCCATGCATTATGCGCTCCTCTTTTTCTTTCTACAAGGTTTGGAATATCAGTGTTTATCTCATACAACCACTCGTGA